CCGAGTTTCGCGGAACCCACGCGAAACCACGGCCACAGCACGCCCACCCTCAACCCACGACACCCTGCAAAGTTTCAGAGACCTGCAAAGGGAGAAAAGAGAGAATTTGGAGAGAGAGAGAGAGATTTCGGACAAACGTTGGCGAGTGTCCAGTTTCTCCGACGAGCCCTCAAACCACCCTCAAAGTAACACCAAACGGCCTGTTACCACCATAAGAGGGATCCCTAACGAAAGCACAATAACTCGGGGTGCGTTTTGTGTTATTTCCTAAGCGTCGTCGTCGGTAACCGAGGTCGGAGAGATTAGGTTTCTTAATCGATTCTTAGATCCATGGCTTTTAGGAGCTTTTAGGCCGCAAAACTCCCAGAAAAGAAAGAAGGACGACAAACAAAGAGGAAAAGGGAAGGAAGAGGACCGAAATCGGCAACGGAAACGCCGCGGGAAAGAGAGAGAAAGCTCGCCGGAAAATCGGCCGAAGTCGGGTAAGGAAGACGAGATCCACGGATCCGGGTCAACCCGAACCCAGAACCCGGGAGAGCCAGCCCGTTCCTCCCTTGGCCTCTACCTTCGGCCCAGCCCAACTTCAGCGGCCCAAACCTCAAACCGGCCCAGAAGCTACGGTTCAGTTGAACCAACCCAGACCAGACCCACGGTCCAATTGAGCCGGCCTGCAAACCAAACTCCTGCGGCCCAGCCCAGTAAGCCGAGGCCCAATGATTAGTCTTGGCCCAGTAGCCCTCCACAGCCCACGACCCGAACCGGGCTGCGACCCGCGCTTCGACCCGACACTGCCGCCCGACGTGGCTTTCTCTGCTACTGCCACGTGTCACTCAACGGCGCAGGCAGTCCCTCGGCTCGGCTCGGCGCAAACGGCTCGGGCTCCCTCCGGCGACCCTCCGGCGGCTGTTCGGCTCGACTTACCTGTTTTCAGCCCGGTTTTCACTGTTCCGACCCTCCCGAATCTGTTTTCGGCCCCGATTAAGGTATCCGAGGCCGTTTCAGAGCCGTATTTCACATTTATTAAATTATAGGTAAATTAATTGTGAAATACTAACGGAAAGTGGTGGACGGTGTGATAGGAAACAAACCCCGAGGACGTAGGGAGCGGCTCTCACGGAACGGGAGCTTACGTTTAGCGATTTAGGGAGTACTTCGGCCAAGGCCAACCAAGTAAGTGGCCTTACTATAGAATAGGCTAAATAATTCTATGCGTTATGATGATGTGTGGATTATGATGCTTGATGATATGCGCGGTATATACATAATTTGTTGAGTGACGCTTGATATGTTTGACGCACGTTGTGGCATTATGATGAGCATGATGATTGCATGATTTTTACCTTAATATGATGATGTTTTCCATATTGAGCATGCTAGATGATGATGAGTGCCATATTGCATCATGTCGTTAGATCGACGTAGGACACAACCCTAAGAGCATGAAGATGATATTAATATAAATATCCACGAGTATGCGTTACCTAGAGTAACAAAGAGATGAGACTAGAGGGTTGTGTCAGAAGAGACATTACGATGGATTTAGAGGGACCTCATGCATTTTGTATGTTCATAAGCATAGGGCTACTTCCCCTAGAGATGATGAGTGCGGACGCGCACCTTATGATGAGCGCGAAAGCGCACAGGTGCGAAAGCACACAGATGAGGGTGTTCATGAGGCGCATGACACTATGGGG